GTAAATGTATCTGTATCTCTTTCATACTTTGTTTGGCCTTTCTCAGTTAATTTAATGAATTATCTGTGCATTGATAAATTTTACATTGTATACAGAACTTCATTTCTTATTGCCAAATGATAGAACCTATAAATATACAGGTTAGTCTAGCAATTTGTTACAGATATTTGAATTGTTACCATGACTGTGAACAGCACTGCCTTGACAGGTGTGGCTCGAATTCTCTCTGGGTCTCCTGCGTGATCAGACTAACCATATAATATATTTTATGTGTATTTATTAACTTACAAAGGAATGAGAACACAGTACCTAGCCCTGTGCCACTCCTCAGAGCCCACCTTATCAGACAGTACCATGCCCATAATTTGCTCATGCTTCTGGGGCGAGTGATCACCCCAGGTCCGTAAAAGTCAGTCCATTCTGCCTTTCAGCTATTGCGTGCAGCCTTCCCATGGCTCACAAACTTCCCCACAGCTCACTGCTCCTCCAGCTTGGCTCACAGCTTCCATTCCAAGATGGCTCCAAGCCACACCCCCATAGTCCAACTCTGCAGCAGGGCCTGCCCACTGGAGGAACTAGCCAATCGGGAGACACTCCACCCCTTTCCTCCGCTCTTACAATCTTTCCATCCAGCTTCCGCTAAAGTCCCTGAGCCTTGGAGGGGGTGATAGATGTAGGGCAAGATAGTGGCTTCTTGGGCCTTCCCATTAGTCATCTTTAGGCCATGTCCACTGATCTATCTCAGTGGTGTTTCTTCTACTATAAAGACAAATGCAAGGAAGTAGACACATTTAAACAAACATGAATGTAAATACAGATGCCCAGAAGATATCCCAGTAGGTAGTTGTACTATATTCATTAAACAATAGGCTCATGATGGCTTCTCCACTAGGGCCTGCAGCCTTTCTCGACAAAAGGCGTTGGCCTGGTCTATAGCACCAGATGTGTGTTGCACCCCTAGGAGCGGGCCTTATCCAATTAGAAATTTGTCAGTTGTACATATTTTTGTCCCTTTTTTATCTTTCTCTTGTCTTACTGCTGTAGCTAAGACTTGAGCACTATATTAAGTAAGAATGGAGAGTGTGGGCACCCTTTTCTCAGTCCAGATTTTAGAGGACATGCTCTCTGTTTTTCCCTATTTAGGATAATGTTGACTAGGTTTGCTTATATAGCCTTAATTATGTTGAAGTATGTTCTGTTTCTAGAGCCTTGAGGTACATCATTAGGTTATTTGAGTTTTTTCTTTTTCTCTTTATTTCTTTTTTCTTTTCCTTTTCTATTTTTTTTCTTTTCCTTTTCTTTCTTTTCTTTTTTTCACGTCAGATGGGTAATGTGCCTGTGTGTAACAAGGTTTGAGGGTAGCACATGTCACGCAGGCGGGTCAATACCCAATCATCATGCTTATGAACTAAAAAAGGATCTGAGTTTTTTCTTTTTTTTAATGTGAGCCATTTACAGCTGTAAACTTACTTTTGAGACTGATTTGGCTGTATTCCACAGGTCCTTTTTTAGTATGTTATTTATTTTTATTTTATGTGTATGCATGTATTGCCTGCATGTAGGTAAGTACACCCATGTCGTGCAATGCCCTCAGAGGTCAGAAGAGGCTGTCAGATCCCCTGGGACTGGAGTTACAGACAGTTGTTAGCTGCCATGTGGGTGCTGGGATTCCAACTCAGGTGTTCCACAAGAACAACCAGTGTTCTTAACCGTGGAGCCATCTCTCCAGCGCCCAGAATCCTATTACTGATTTTTTTGTATATAAAATTAATTAAATTTTATTAAGAGTTTGAAAATATACTGCGTTTGCACAATATTATTCATACCATACCACAGTGAATATTAGTTTTCTAAAGTGATTCTCTGTGTGGGTGCCTCATGCCCTCTGCTCGTTTTTTAGAGTGTTTGCTATTTGCCATTTCATCTGCAATCCAAGTCACTTAGTCACAATATTTCTTTCTTGAAAAGTAATAATGCTTTAACAATTTTCTTACTTACCATATTAACTTTTGGCTATTTCAAAAGAATGAAACCAGTATCAGTTACTCACTGACTTTAAAGACACTAAGAAAAATGGGTAAGCTTGAGAATACGTCCCTTCTTCCTGCTGTCTTTCTTATTTCCTGCTCCCATTGATCTAAAAAACAAACCAAACAAACAAAAAAACTGTTCAATTTGAACAGTCTAACCTAGTGTATTTTCTGAAAAAACTAATTAATTTTAACAAATATTTATTGAATGCTTCTTAAGCATCAGTCGTTATTTGAACTTTTAGGATTTCCATTAACAAAGCAAATTCCTCCTCCTGTGGTATTTCCTTTCTAGTAGGAAGGTGAAAGAGACAAAATTAAGTGTAAGAGTGGTGTTGGGAGGCAGTGTGACACGAACTAAATGGAGAAGGTTAGTCTTGGGAGTCATCCCTATAGGCTTCATTAAGGAAAAAAACCTGCTTTTCAAAATGTGAAGACTGCAAAATTATGTATGAGGATATCTGGAGGACAAGGATTATAGGGGAAAATGAGCAGCTAGAAGAATGGCCCTACACATGGGAGAAAGGCTCGGGGATGGGGCTATACCATAGAAGACCATGTAGCTAGAACAGAGAAACAACACACAGAGTCCCACATAAAATAAGAGAAGAAAGGGCTGATCACATTGGCCTTGTAAGCCACCTTGGACGTCAGTTCTCACCTGAGTTCAACGGGAGCCATTGCAGTGCCGTGATGAGAAGAGACATGATCAGATTCATCTTCCACGCAGATTCCGTCTGCTGCATTGAGAACAGAATGAAGGGACAAGTCTGGAGGTAAGACGGGATGGAACAAGGCGGTAGTCATGGTGGTGGTGAAGAGGTTACACATCTGTGTCCAATTTTATATTTCAGTCATACTTCTAGAAATTCTGAAGACCATGTTTGTTTTGAAAATAGTTATAGCCCTTAGTCCCAGCTTAAGAGCAGACACAGTAAACATAAGTATATTTTTATATAAAATGTGTTATTAGAAACAAAATGGGCTATTATTTGCCTATTGTACAATTTCAATATGTTAGTCATATTTCTCGTGTACTGCTTAATGGGCGTTGTGTTAGTGACTTTTTGCTGCTGTGATAAAACACCATGACTAAGACAACTAATAGCTTTCCATTCCAGGGGGAGCATCCATGACAGGGGAGGCATGGCAGGAGGCAGCTGGTGCAGAAAGCTGAGCGTGCACCTCTTCAAACACATGCAAAAATCAGAGAGAGCAAAGTGACCTGTGGCCAGACTGTCAACTCTCAAAGCCTACTCCAGTGACACACTTCCCCCGCAAAGTCACACTTCCTAAACCTTCCCAAACAGCACCACCAAATGGAGTCCAAGAGTCAAATATGCAAACCTACGGGGGCATTTCAAACAATCTCAATGACCCTATGAGGTCACTCTACCATTGAGGAAACTGAGGCAAAGGTGGTTGGACAACTTATCAAAGCCTAGTCTGTGGCAGAGCATTAGTGAGAATCTGAGTTATCTAATTTCAAAGTACCTGCTCTTAACACTGGGCGATGCTGACTTTAAAAAGGGAAAACTGTAAATCACAATTCACTATAATTCATAGATTCTAAAGTGTGAAATTTATACTCAACATCTGATCATATCATAGCCAAGAAACACAACAGGCAAGATGTACAAGACAATAAGATAATATGTACCTTCTTTGTGGAATCAAATTACCTACATTAAAAAAAAAAAAAAAACAACCTTAAAAGCCCATAAAAAAAGCAAACTTTTAGTGATGGCAATCAAAATTGTACCATTCTTTTGAGTTCTGGAATATGCTGGAATCGATTCTGTTCCCCAAGGAACTTGTTGTCTGAAACACCAAAGTGGCTTTCTGGAAAAGTAACATAAAACATCTTCTCAGTGTCATGTTTTGTTTGAATGCACAGAATTATGACACTTAAACTTGGTAATGCTACATTTTTTCCCAACACAGCTGGCAGTGCATATTTTGAGATATGTGGCTAAAGAATCCAATTATATACCTCAGGGAAAGGGCACCAAGAAGAGCTAAGGAAGAAGGGCTTTGTTTAGAAGTATAGCACTCTGTGTTTTCACAACTAAATGAAAAACAATAATACCACATGACCAAAGATTAAATGAAGCATGTGAAAGACAGTGAATAGTTAACTTTGCAAAATAGAGCAAGTCCATGAAATAGGCATGTAAAAAATTAGCATTGTCATTTGTGGAGAGTTTCAAATTATAGTAAAATGAAAGTACAAGACACAATGCAGAGATCACTAAGACAGGAGAGTGTATCATCAGAGAATGATGTCTGCACATGCTGATGTGTTTTTGATAGCACAGGAATGTTGCAAGAGTCCCAAGGTCTAGTGATTATTAAGAAATCCCTAGAAAGGAAGTGTTTTTCTCTAGAAAAGAGTTAAGAATAGATACACAGTCTGAAAGACACATGGAAAGTGTACACAATGTTTGACAATTTTGATTCTTTGATTTTAAATACATGTGAAATATGTCTTATACTGTCAATTAAATGCAATCCTGGCAATATGGATCAAGAGAACTAATTATCCTCTATTTTTCAAGTTTAAATCAGATTTGAATCTAGAATCCGAGAAAAAATTCATTCAGAATATTTTTATGGATGGTCCTATGTCTTCCCAAATGACTAAGCAAAACAGTAATCATGTAGTCAATTATCACATTGCAGCTTGAATTCTCCCTGGGTCTCCTGCACAATCAGACAAACCATATAATATATTTTATGTGTATTTATTAACTTACAAAGGAATGAGAACCCAGTACCTAGCCCTGTGCCACTCCTCAGAGCCCACCTTATCAGACAGTACCATGCCCATAATTTGCTCATGCTTCTGGGGCCAGTGATCACCCCAGGTCCGTAAAAGGCAGTCCATTCTGCCTTTCAGCTATTGCGTGCAGCCTTCCCATGGCTCACAAACTTCCCCACAGCTCACTGCTCCTCCAGCTTGGCTCACAGCTTCCATTCCAAGATGGCTCCAAGCCACACCCCCATAGTCCAACTCTGCAGCAGGGCCTGCCCACTGGAGGAACTAGCCAATCGGGAGACACTCCACCCCTTTCCTCCGCTCTTACAATCTTTCCATCCAGCTTCCGCTAAAGTCCCTGAGCCTTGGAGGGGGTGATAGATGTAGGGCAAGATAGTGGCTTCTTGGGCCTTCCCATTAGTCATCTTTAGGCCATGTCCACTGATCTATCTCAGTGGTGTTTCTTCTACTATAAAGACAAATGCAAGGAAGTAGACACATTTAAACAAACATGAATGTAAATACAGATGCCCAGAAGATATCCCAGTAGGTAGTTGTACTATATTCATTAAACAATAGGCTCATGATGGCTTCTCCACTAGGGCCTGCAGCCTTTCTCGACACCATTATTGCATTTGCAGGTATTGCTTGGCATGTCTGTAGTGTGTGGCACATGGGGTCCATCATTGAGTAGACTTATAGGGGATCCTTTCTTCCCCAACCATCTGTATAGAGCCTTCTGGTAATATGAATGTCATCCATCCAGTAGCACATAGTTTTTTTGGCTTAATCTCAGTTCCATCTCTTCTTCTTCTCCCGTGCTCACAACATGCAGTGTCCTCAGCAACATGGCCTTACCGACCTTTCTAGAATACAGCCAACATTAATGGCAACAG